TGAGCGGATTTTTGCTATAGGGCGCGTGTGCTTGCCAGACAGACAGAGACAGAGAGACAGAAAGCGAGAAATCACCACCCGGGGGGATGGCCACGCCGCAATCTCTTCTCCTCCATTCTCCTCTCGGGATCTTGGGCACGCACGCACACGTGCCTGGCAGTTTTAAGCCACCAGGACGCGAACCGCAGTCGACTACATGGGAGTCCAGCGACATAGCCATTACGCTAACTGCTGGTCCCCCCCACTGATTCTCAAGTTGCTAGGGCTGGGACTCAAACCAGATCGATGCTGTGGGAGTCCAGTGCCTTAATCACCAGGCAACCTGCTAGCCCCATCTTTTTTTTCCTAATAGGTGAAGTGCTACCTCATTATGGTTTTTATTTTTATTTCCTTAATGATTAGTAATGTTGAGCATCTTTTCATATGCTTTTTGGCCATTTGTCTATCATCTTGAGAGATTAATTGGGTTGTTTTATTATTGTAGAAATCTCCTGATTTAAAAAACTTGGTTATCGATGAACATTTTTGAAAAACTACCACCCGGGCTTTATAATCATAAAGCATGATGGGGAAGGTTCTGGGTTCACATCCGGAGCTGTGCCAGAGCATGCCAGGCTCAGGGGTGCCCATGATCCTGGACTGACTGAGGCTGGGGGTGGACTGCAGTGTTAGGACCTTGTTGTTGGTACTGTCTGTCTCCTTATCTTTTCCTTTCATGGAATAAATTAAAATTACTACCTGAGCCAAAAACAAGTCCCTGCTGGATCTGCCTCAGGTTGTCAGCCCTTCTGGGAGGTTAGCTGGCTTGCAGAGAGGCCGCAGCATTCCTGGCTTGCTCTCTGCCTGCCTCCTGTACACTTGCTGCCTGAGGGCAGGCGCTGTTGTAGTTTGGGCATTTCAGGATCCCCATGGGAAGGGGTGCGCCTCACCTGGCTGAGTTAACAAGTAGGCCCTGTGGTCTGTGAGGGTCTGATGTCTGGGTGTTTGGGCCGTGATCTTGACCTTGAGTTTCATCACGGAGTTGAGACAACCACAGCCTACAGACTGCTGTGCCTTCCTGCCTGAAACAGCACAGGCTGTGGCTGAAACCTGACATGGCACCAAATGAGCCTCTATTTAGGAGTCCTGATTATGATAGTTTTTTTTTTTTTTTTTTTAAGAGATTTTTTGCTATAAGGGGCCATGGGCTCGCCAGAGAGGCGAGAC